GAATGGGGAAAGTTAGTAGTGGGATTCGAACGCACACTCCCAGGGTGATAATTTGGTGACGCTACCACCGGGCCACCACCGCCAAGCTGAGATAATTTGTGGATTAATCTCCACCTTCTTCTGTTCCATCACATCGGTATTCCTCGAACGATACCAGCTATCTTGGATTTAGTTTCACATGATTGCCCGAGTGAACTCCCTCTCTCTCTCTGCATCAAACATAACGAGGTTTTTTCAGTGGATGAGGTTTGGTCAGCTATTCTTTTTCTGTCAATAACTTTGAGAACTTTGGGTAAAATAGTTCACAATCATCTCTCCCCTAACACGGTTCAATTCAAAACTCAAGAAATTGCAGACCAGGGGACAAGAATTAAAGTAGAGTCGATTGTAAATACATACAGTATTGAAACAACCTTTTCCGGAAATGAACTGAAGAAGAGAATACGTGATACTTTATATATATATATATATATGTTAAAGGGGATTCAGGGTAGTATGGTGCACGAATAATGCGTATGCCGTTAATTAACTTAGTTTAAAATCAATGTAACTCATGAAGATTTGATTGTAATACATAGTCGCGGAGATCTGCTATTCAATGATTGAAACTCGCAATCCGAGCCCCGGACTTGGAGTGACCAAACACATAAGGCCGCCATAGGTTAGGTGTGGAAGTTATCCGGACGACATCAAACCTACCTATCACCAGAGTTAGGTGGCGGTGGCGGGTCTAAAGCATGCCGGTGACAGCGATTAAATTACTGCGCATTCACCAACCTACGATGCTTGGTAAAGTACATCCAGACAGCCCAATGCGTTTGACAAGGGAAGGTCTGGCGTGATTAATTCTACCAATAATCTGTGCTGTATTTTACAGATTGCTTATGCTTCATCCAGTACAGGCGAAATCAAATTCTGTGCTCAGCTGTGTGGCTGATAAGTGTGTAGTATACATACGCCTACCTGTTATGAGGGCCTGAGTTCGATCCTCGATTGACCATAGTTGGATTTACGCTCTAAGTGAAACTCGACAGTTTTCTGTAGTTTGTTGCAACCAGATTTATTATGCGCAATTTGTATGTGGCTGTCGTACAACTTTGAAACTCATTTAGAGTTTGGTCGGCGTGAAAGTGCACAGAATTCTGCTTCGTACAAACAATAGTACAGTCATTAACTCAGTACTCTAGGGACCCAGAGCGTTAAGTAGATGCGGTCATAAACTCATCCGAGTACTTGACCTTCACGGACTGTGAAAGTTCCTTGAGCACATCATGACCTTGTTCTCGCATTTCCCACAGATTTGCATCCAGTCCAGGCATCCAACAGATGACACTATAGAAACACGTTTTAACACTAAAATCTATCCATTGCGTTTAGCTCTCTCTTAGGCTCACAGTCAAATGTGAATAGTGTTGTGAAATCGGTAACACGAACGATGCAGACTGCCCATCCTTCAAATCACTAGTCCGATGCTTTTGGTTGTAAAGAATTAAATGACTCGTATCGGGGCCCAAATCTGTCTAAACCTAATTTGGTCAGATTCGGTATAAGCTGGCTCGATCAGTAATGCCATACGCCTTCCCTATCAGAGGTCCTGTGAGCAAAACCTGAATAGGGGATAGCTGAACTTCACGATTGATAAGCCCTAGCGAGAACAACATTCGAGTCTTAAGCTTCTCGGGCGTTTGGCTGGGCCGTCTGAACTGGGTGTGTGCAATAAAATAAACTTCCCTGAATGGGCAAATCGTGTTTTGAATTATTGGGATTTATTTGAACCAACTTCAAGTAATTATCTTGGGGGGGGGGCTTGCAAACGATACCTACAACAATTCAAAGCTTCGAACGGAAGACAGGAAGACAGTATATTTGAAAGAAACTGCTCATTGGAAACTGACTTGTCCATTTGATGTTAGTTCCACGGTCCGTGATTCCCCCATCCCGGGTTCGGGCTCAACATTCCCGAGATTTTGATCAAGTCGGTAACCTTCACATGAACGGTTACCGGGACCCAGTTTGTATACCTCTTCCCAGACGATTTGAAGTCAGTATTTTTCAGTTTCATTAGAGGACTCACGTACTCGTATCATTGGACAATCGCTCCGCATTTTTATTGTTTTCCTCCATCACCCGCCCTATATCGATCGATGATGACCAACACAGCAATCATCACAGAGTAATTATAATTTTAAATGCTATTGCAATTTTTGTGATAGCTAACAAAGAGCACTGGATAACTGTTTCGTCCTGTTTGGGACTCGTCAACAGTGCGCACTTTTTGTGTCCCTGTCAGGACTAGGACGGCAAAACTTTCCGGTGGAGACTTCAAACTCTTATCCTGAGCCATATGATCATCTGGTGCAAATGACTCAATCAATTTAGACAGTGAATGTTTGGATTAGACCATTTGGTTATTGACACAGGTACCAGACACTGTTGATGATGATCTTCGATGCGGGTTTCACTGCCTCGGAAATGATTAACTCCTCACTAGTTGCATGCATTTAATTGCGATGGAAATGTTTGTGATAACCGATAACTCAAGATCATCACTAGTGCCTGTTGATTGGGTTAATTCAAACCATGATTTGACTTTGGGACAAAGGGAAAATTGAAGCAGAGGCACGGAAATGTTTATTTGAATCCCCCTTGAATAGACTGTGTCAGTGGGTAACGTATGATGTGACTCATTGGAATTCGTGGTGTGTTCATAATCAAAACAGCAATGCGTTAAAACAAGAGTATGAGGTAGGTCATGATAGTAACATAAAAAGTTTAAATAAAAAATGATAAATGTATTTTGACTTCCTTTTTTCATTTATTTAATATTAAAATATATAAGCAATATTCAGGAAGAGCGGCCGCGGCCATACCAATGCTGCCTGGGAAGACGGGCGACGGTAGAGCGATTCAAACCCAAGACTACCAGGTCACAAGTTGGTGACCCAATCACTTGGTGACCACCGCCAAGTTCGACACATTTCTTTGTAAATGACAACACATCCATGGGAAGTTAGGGATCACTGAGTGGGGGTGAGTTTAAAGGAAGTTGCGGGGGTGGGGTGAATTTAACGTACTCTCAATAAATGAGACTTGGGTAAAAACATAAATCCAGGCACTTAGTCATTTCGGAATACTTCTTTCAGTTCCGCGATTATGAATAATTGTACAGACGAAAACGGGACGCTTGGTCGGGTTTAGTGTTCTTGATCGTCTTAATTGGACCACAGACAAATTGAATCATGCAATATTAAAAACCATGGCGCTGAAACAGTACCTATGACCTAATTGCTCATAAGTGATCTCGTTTGATCTTCGCCCTGCGTGCTCTTCACCTCAGTTAACCGTGACATCCAAGGCGATCAACCAAACGTTACAGTTCAGTTCAAATCGCGATCAACAGAAAAAAATGTGGCAAAGATCGATCCCCCTTCACACCCACATATACACCTTGTAGGTGGCGCATCGGAAGTTAGTCATTATCAAAACCAAGCTACACTTTGCTCATCACGCGCTGCCAAAACCAAATTTGGTTACCCCAGCCCCGTCGAGTCCTCTCCGAAATGATTTCCCTTGACATCACACAACTAACAAAAATTATGATCCAACGTCCATTCGGCTGAGATGTGTGATTTCTCCGGACGTTCTGTCCGAAGAAACATCACGANGAGCCACTTGGATCTTAGCAATGCCCATTGTAGTCATACCACTGTAAGCGAGTCAGGTATGACTATAGTTTGTGCGTCGAGGCTAAAAGACTACGGTCCGTGGATAAAGCATTGGGGGTTTTGACTAAAGGAATGTGAATCGAGGCTAAAGAACTGCGGGTTTTGGGTACAGTTTCATGGGAGAAGGTGTAGTCAATGTACAGTTTTGACAATCTGTGAGTTTAGAAGGTCCAAAAATTCTTTCACTGATTTTTGCTTTCAAAGCAGCCTTGTCTTTCTTTTGCACGATTCTGTCTTTGTATTCATTCGCTCTTTACCATGACGAGCAAGTTTCTCAAAAACTAATTTCAATTATATTCATTTCATGGTTACTTAATCTGCACGTACACTGATTGAATTTTCGTCAAGTTCAATTCTTTCCGGATGACGTTATTTTTCTGCTGGTTGCACAAACGAATTTCTCTGGTTTATGTTTGCTCATTCGCTTGCTTCAGACTCCACGAAGTTCCCGCCAACCGGCGGGTTTACGCAAAGTTCGCGCTTTGTGGGATCCTCCGCGCACAAATCGTTCAAAGTCTGTCTGTTCTCCATCATCCACAACCACGGAGCCGGAGAGAGCGGACAAACAGCCCGTGGTTGTACACAGTTTGAAACCCCGATCCAGAGTGCCACGAAAGAGTAAAAATGCATCCACTTCGGATGACACGGATTCCTTTTTTATAAGAGATATTCCACTCCGCTCAGAACCACCAGTGCATCCGACCTCTGACGTCTACCCGGAAGGAAATTTTCCATCCGGCAGATCTATGTTTAATTTACGCGGCACCTATCCACGACGTGGGCCCACAAGATCCAAATCGAATCGAGTCCGCTCGAAAGGATCAGTTCCTCTAGCGAAAGATGACAGTCTGGCCTCGGATTCATTATACGTTCCTTATCAGGCCGATCCTGAATCCAGTAGTGATACCGCGACTGAGAACGATCCAAGCGAAGATTTGTATGCCCCCAGTGACCCCACTCAAACGGGTAAACGAAATTTCTCAGATTATACAGCATCCACATCACAGCGAAATCGATGGATGCGCAACCCCGATCCGAACGGTTCGCGGACGACAAATCGTGCATCGCGCAGAACACATAGGTCCNTGATGATCAAACTCAGTTTTTATGTTACCCCACTGGTACTTTTCCGCAACCGATGAGAGCAGACCATTGTGTCGTCCCGATTGTTTATCCAGTCGAATCGGCCGGGTCACCTCGTCAGGCGTATGCAATTCATTGTGCTCAACCAACTTGGATTCATCATCATCCACTTTCGGTTATGTCATCTGGACCGTTCGCTCCCCCTTCACCGCAGTACTACATTGGTCCAGTCCATCCGACACAGCCAACCATCCTGAATCCGGCCAACCTGTCCGCTTCACAGATAACGGCCGGGCCCGCAGAGAGCGTCCGTAGCAACTTGTCACAGAATGATGTGTCATACGGCCAGGCAGACGCTGATTTGAATCAGAACCCTCAGTCATCGGCTAAAACAGTTGAGGTTAGTTACATCACGCTATCTATTGTGGTCGATTATGAAAAGGATATGGTCTTTTTTAAAGCCGTAACGACCATTTCAACCAAACAGAAAAGTTTTCCGCAGACCAACTCTGGCAGAGGTGTGCTAGTTTGTGGTTGAAAAAATTCCGCAAATACCAAACAAACGTGGTATTTATCTAGGTGTTTTACTATTGATTTTTTCTAGCGACTGTTTTTACCCCGTTTGTCCACCACAGGTTTTCCTTTACACATGCATTCATGCGGAAAGATTAATTAGCGAAATCCGGGAAAGATTCGTGTTGAACTCCTGGATTTCAGACCACTCGATGTGGTTGGAGACCCACAACTATCTGGAGTTTCTCTTCTCCACTTTTCTCTATTCCCCCTCCCCTAAGGATTGTTTGCCACATTCTTTTCCAAATTATGTTGAGGACACGCCCAAATAGGTACGATTCAACTATAGTTAGTTAAAAACGGGGATACTGGTAGTTGCGAAAAATACGAGCGGACTCTATTTGGCCTCCTACGTGGTGTTTGTTTCCGGTACCTCACAGTAAGATTCCCATTCTGTGCGTGACGAGAAAATGAAGTCTAACTACAACCTGCTTGGTTGTGACGGTTGATTCAGACTGGTTGTGAGAAGCACTCACGTCATTGAATGACTTATGTTTCTGTTGCCTAAGAAGCTCCACTTTGAGACTCAAGTCCAATCCTCACCACCACCACCACCACCACCCAGTGGTGCCCTGGTTAGGGTTTTCGTGTCCCCATACCAGGTCTTCGTTTGACCGCCCTTAACCTTTTATCAGACGCTACCTGCCTCGGCAAACATCGCTCGCCGTGATATGCGCAACGCTTGCCCCAACTAGCGTTATCTATGGAGGTCGATCACTTACTTCAGTGGATGACCTCGATTAACTAAAACTCTACGCTTAACTTTAGCATTGCTAGTTCGGTTACCTCACCATACTTGTGCAATACGACGTAGATAGCGGTGTTCGAACACCGACAATCTAATTTCATCCTGTTCCCTCAATGGCCAATTCTCTGCACCTTAGAGCACTGGTCGAACCGCTACAGAATATACTCGACGCTTCACAGACAGCCGGATTTCGCGACGGCACCACAGATATCTCAAGTCGGCAAATGCCAACCGAGCCCTTTTGTATACCTGCCTACAATTCATCTGTCATGCGTCCGCCAGATGAGATATAGCTGCCCAGATAGTAAAATTTATCTACTACCTCTACTACTTCCCTAGTCAGGGTGAGGTTGCGAGCTGGGCCAACCCAAACTTGTAGCAATATTTTACACCTTGAAGGTGCCAACAGCATTCAATACATGCCTACGCTAACACTTAATTTATCCAGAAAAGCTTACACCCTCACTGACCTTCCCTCAGTAGCACAATGACCTCTGCATACTCTAGATCATACAGTCTGCCACCCGTGAGTAATTCGATGCCGCTATCCTCGCACGAGGACAGGGCTGTTTCAAAAATTTAATCTATAAAAAAGTTAAATAGAAACGGAGAGGGAGGGCAACCCTGACGAGCATCACTTTTCGAAGTGAACTCGGATGAAAAGGTGTAAGCTTGACTCGGTTTCGGTTATTAGTATAAAGGGATTGTAATATTGAGATAAATTTCCCGGGCGCATCCTTTAGAGCAAGGCAGTGCCAGAGTTTAGAGCGATCAACTGAGCCGAAAACCGCTTTCAGACCGCGAAAGATAGAAATAGTGCGTTTGTGAAAGGAGTTTCTGCGTTCTAGAATTTGACGAAGAATGAAGATGTGGTCTATACAACCGCGACCATGTCTTACACCAGCCTGGTTCTCACGTGTGCACCGTTCACGTGAGGCCGATAATCGACGGAGTATGATCCCCGCGAGAAGTTTAGAGGCAATGTGAATTAAACTAATCCCTCTGTGGTTTCACAAGGAGACCTATCGCGATTTTTGTAAATCAGTACCCACTCGCACCATTTAGTTGGAACCTCTTCTCTCTCCCACGCTGAGGAGCATCGTCGTAATGCAATAACAGTACTTCGAGCGCTCCCGGCTCACTAACGGTTCACTATTTCAGGTGGCAGGCAGTAAGTAAATGCAACACCTCCTACATTTATCACATGTTTATCCGACTGCTGATCGGTAGCGCTCTGCCGAACCGATTGTATGATAAACGAGCCAATGGAAGTGGAGCGTATTACGATCGTGCGGCACACACATGCACACGCACCACACATCTACAACGAGACCAGCTCATTCGGGTCGGGGTCCGTTCACCGATGCATAAAATATTCACTTAGTCATACGCGTCACTGATCAAGAACCCAAATTTTCGTTGTTCGTGCTGACTGCATAGCTGTGTGAAGTCGCCACAGCCGGAAACCAAACACGATCAGAAGACCTGGCACCAAAAGGGAGTCTATCTCGGGTCGACACTTGCATTGCTGACTTCACGCTCAGCTGGTTGTATCAGGACTGTCCATAATCTTCCTGTACACTGTTTTTCATTTCCTCGTTCCAAAATCCTGCCAAATGGTGCTGTTCGCACCGTCGAAACCCTTTCATTCGAATAGAATTTAACCCGAATGGGCAGCAAATCGAAGAAACCTTTAGTATAGTCATATTGGCATTGCTCATGTTGATTGGTACTTTGAATGACAATATGAATCGCAAAGATGACGGCCTAGAAACCAGTCAAAAACAAGCTGGTTCAACCAAGGTTAGTAGACTCAAGTTCAAGCAGTATATTATTTCGTATAGAAAACATTGATGCCCCAGCTCACATTTGGACATTATGGATTCTGCTCGTCGTTTGATGATCGCGAATCATGACCATGATCTCATACCCAATAACTTCGGTTCTCAATAGAATGGATTCAAATTTCGTCTTCTCACTAGCCCACCCGCATTATGTTAACGATTGGCATTGAAACCGGAAATAAAACTGCAGTATGTTGTGATTGAACCATTTTAAAAAAGAATCAAGAATGATACCCTACCAACTGGATATTAGAATTATAGACTGCGAAATATCCCAGGTATTCACTGACTACCAGACGCAGATTTTGTTTCAGATCATCTTTTTGGTGAACTTTCAAATGGTTTCAGGTTGGTCATGATCTTAACTACAATTTTTTTCTTACTATCACCCAAAGATTTTGCGTCTTTGTGTCCCCAGCGGCACTGTTAATAGGCCATATCTATTGTTCCCCAGAAACGATTACCTTTGTTAGTGTTGGTGAATTCTTCGAGCTGGAAGTGTTGTTCTCAGTTGTTTCGTGGCCGAGCTAGGGAAAGCGCTAGCTTTCATTGTGACCGGGCTTATATCGTTCCGTTCGAAGGTTTGCGTTCCTATACCCCTGTTGGTCAGGAGCGACTATTTGGGTTCCCAAACAAAAACCCCTTCATAGGCGTGGGCTGCCGTGAAGTTTACCGTGCCCTAAAGTATTAGGTACTCATTTTGGAAACCATCTTTCTTATCTGTCTCGTTCTTCTTCTCAGTCCCAAATAATCCCAGATAACTCTTGTTTACTCATTGGGATATCACTCAGCGTTTTACAAGCACGACCAGATAGTAAGAAGTTATAGGATTTTTAATGCCAAAATTCCCTTTTCACTTAGCTGCGTTCGGTGTCCGTACTTTTAAATTGGTCAACAATCTGCCTTGGCTAGAACCCATGAAACTTTCAATTTATATTTATGCTGTGTCTTCAAAACACGCATACAAGACCTCACTTCAACTATTTCCATGCGTTCTCTGAATCCAACATCAACCTCACGCTTCACCCTTCGTGTGTCAGGCGATTCGGCATCCGAAGCTCGTGATGTTGCTGGTGTTTGGATTGCGCAAAGTGCCAAGGCTGAGTGCTCGCTTATTGGCTGGTTTCCAGTCAGTAGCTCACGGTGCGCTGTACATCTCAACGGTTTAGCACGGGCCAACAGATGCAGAACGAAGCGACGCTGTTTGCTCGTCGTATCGATGTATGCACCAACCGATTGCAGTGCACCTGAAATCAAGGATGAATTCTACAAGAACCTTTCTAAATGAATTCAAATTTTCGATCAACGGACGTCGTAATAGTCGCCAGGGACTTTAATGCCCAAGTAGGACCCGTGGACGAATCGGAAAGGCTTCATGGCGGACCACATGCAATCCCAGCCAACTGGACGGACAATGGAGATCGCCTACTTCAACTCTGCGCGGATCACGGACTGTTTTTTCTTAGCAAGCATTTCTCACACAAGAAACGACACCGCTTTACATGGAAACCGCCAACCGCTTCACAACTCTGGACCCAAATCGACCACATCGCTATCAGTTACCGCTGGAGAGGATCGATTCAATACAGCCGTTTTTACTGATCAGCACCTGTGGATACAGATCACACCCTGTTAAGATGTGATGGGTAGTAAAATAATAGATCCCACTCCAAAGGACTGGGTCACATAGGTTCCATTAGGCTCCCTGGCTGGGTACCTCGGGATGATCGTAAGCGATGGTTAGAGACACTGAGTGATACGGCTGTGTCGTCAACAGTGGCATGCGTTCACCTTCTCAATTTCTTTGCAACCTAAGACCACTGAAATTATCCATTTTCTGTTCGACTCTAATTTCAGTTTTCCCGGTTTTCTCCTATTGTTCATCCAAATGGGCAGCCAAAAGACAGCAACCCAAACCGGCGCACGAAAGTGCATGTTTAATGGTTGCACAAACCGAAACTGGAACCATTTGCTGTGCTTTGATCGGCTGTTTCGCTGTCATGGTGACCAAAAATGTATACCTTTATTTTATTCTCAATAAATAACAGGCAAAAAAATATTTCACTATTTTATTATTATTATTATTATGTTCGGTAGTTTACGCTGTTGATGTACTTCTTCAACACAGATCTATCATTCACACTCCTCATCCTGAGTACCACACGATTGCAACCTGTTCTCTATCTGTGCAGAAAAAGAACAGTACCAACAACGTTACGGATACTCAAAACCACGTGGAATCTGCTCAACCCGCAAACCATATTAATGACATGTATAATGCGGGTGAACCGACCACTAACGCAGATCCGAATGATAATCAAGCCAAATGTCAACCTGCTCAATCGTTCTTCGTGTCCATTGCGCGGGATAAAATCAGTACACAACCACCGTTCGGAGTTCGGGGACCATTGCGAAGTACCAGTCTTATTCGTTCCAAGCGTGTGAAACCGAAGGCCTCGATCACGGACGAGATTGCACAGGTCACATCCAGTACCGGTCCACAACATGCGGAACCGGAGACTGGATCGAGAGAGGCAATGGTGTCTGTTCCGTCGAACGATACAAACCGGGACCGGTCCCCGAATAAAAATTCCATCTCGGACAGCAGTACGCGACCGGACAGGGAATCAACGGTATTGTGATTTTATCTTAGTTTATTTTGCTTTTATTTGTTATTTTACCGACTGTAAGAATCTGAAAGATAACAACCACGTCTCTCATGACTTTACTGGATGAACATGTCGGAGGAACTCAACTGGGCTACTTCTATTTCGCAGTTCACTCACAATTGCTTGTGTCTAATGACACATGACATATAGTAACAAATACCTATCCACGTCTACCTTGTGTTGTTGTCCCGCCTAAGAAACTGATTGCTTCTCATGATAGGTGGTCACTGAACACAATAGCATCGGTACTCGAGGTCGACATAGTTGTGAGGTAGCTGGCGGAACCGTCACGGTTCCATCCTCTACATCGAGGGATCAGGATGCGAATCTTCAATTGGACAGCCGGATACACTTACCCGGGGTTAGAAAACGTCGGGTATAGATGACAGAGAGAATTTGTCTGTCTGTGTTAGGGGTAATATTAATCAAATTCAATCGTGTGCTCTTTAGAGCCATATATTGTACAGAAGACGTATTCACACGTCTCAAATCGTTTGAACCACAATTTGGACACGCACCACACGATTGCCTTTTCGTCATTTGGTTATCAGCTTCCTCCCAAGGTGGACAAGCTTTGACCAATTCGATTGAGCAGCGCACACCTGTCTGGGAGTTCACGTCAGTGATTTGTGTATATCGTCTCCAGAATGTGGACTTAATCCATGCCGCAGAAGTGACCGAGTTTCAGCATGATGATTTTTAGATCAGTGCACACTGTGATATAGTTATTAGACTACTGTTTAACCACAAATTACACTGTTTTTATTAAAGAATTATATATATATATATATACTATGTCTTACGTCCTACATTTCCATTTTTCCGGTGGTGACCTCAGTTTCACCAAACGTGAAACGATTGTTTTGCCTCGGCAACATCTGCTATGGTTGTTACCGTTTAATCTTCAACTCGGTATACGGCTTTCTAGTATAGCTTCTGCATATAGACCTCATCAGTAAACACAGTAATCGGATTTCTCATCTCCGTCTGTTTGACCCCACTACCCTTATAATCTTGTAGAGAATCACCGTCGTGTTATTCCTTGCCAAGGCTATTGAAATATAAGCTGTTTCTTCTAGAAGATTTCCGGAGTTCATCACTATGACTACTGAGACTAAAGAGAAACGATGTGGAACATAGACGTGCTTTTTGTCCCTTAATTCATAAATGGTACACTTAAAAATAAATAGAATTGAAACTGATCGAAATGACGGTGTGGCATCAGTATTACTATTTTTCCCTCTTCATTTCCTAGGAATCTGTAGGATTTAATTTGACTGTCTTAAAAGGGTTTTCAAACAATGAATAGATCCTTTCAGGGTTTCTGTAATGAACGATTAACCGGTGATGGAGTCGAACACATATTGGATGAGAAACACAGGCAGATTGTATGAGGTGTCATGGTAGGTGAGAGGAGAAAACCGGTAAACGGGATTTAGCTGTGTGACTGGAGTGAACACAAACGGAAAGTTTGGAGTGGACTCTTCTTGGTTGAACGGATTTGCCATGGTCTTGGAATAGCTACGTTGATATTGTTAGGTCTGTGTCAGAATTACGAGAGAATCCCACATGACGCACATGTGTGTATAATACTTAAGGAGGTGCATGAGGGGCTCAAATAATTCTGTATATATTATTTGTATTGTTAAATAAATCAAATGTTTAAACGATTTGATACTCCTTTAGTAAAAGTCCTAAAGTCAGCCACGCATTTATGGTCGCCTATCTGGTAAGTCCAGATCTCTGACAATCTGTTTTTGAACGCAGACGATTGAGTGGTATAACACCTGTTAGAAAAAGACTTTCAAATCGTTTATGCATTTGATCTATTCAACAATACAGATGAAATTTTAAAGGGTGATTTCAACTACCATGCACCCCCTGGAATACTACACAAACACACGCATATATTGGCATAAATATGATCCACGTTGCTCCGCTTTTTCATTGTTTTCCTATCGAGTAAATTGTATACCCCATCTGCTGGAATGTGTTTACTAATGGTCAGAGATGACCATGGGATTTATCAATACTGGTTCAGAACCAAATTCTCTGATAATACAAAAGAAATCCAGAGCAATTTATATTTCCCCCTCACTTCTTAATCCGAAAGTGATATCCAGTACCTGACTGAGGTACGTTTTCCCAGGAATATAGGTCGCTCGTCTCGTTCTATCTCGTTCTCACACTTTGTCTTTCTTTTTTTTTGCTGTTAGCCATTGCCAAAACGATCCCCGTCGGCCACGATCAGCAACCTCCGATCACCCAAACGTTTGATCAAAACAAACAGTTTGGAATGCAAACAAAATTCCCCGAAATATTCGGAAATTACTGATCAACTTCAGCAACGCGAACAACGACGTGAACTGGAACGCCAGAGACGAGAGGCAATCTTTCAGGTAGGATCAATTTTAACCACCTGTACGAAATCCAAACATAAGGTGTATTCGGTTCACGAACAGGTGAAACATCTGATCAAGGGAACCCTGTTTTTTCTCTGAAATTTGTCGATAATCTAAATTCTCCCCTTTGGATGAGTAAAACATTTATGGCCCGAATGGAATAGCCTTAGTAATGGAACGGAAATTGCGTGCCCCTGAAACTGACTGGTGAAAGCTGTGTTTGAACCTTGCAGTAAAGAGTGCAAAACAGCAATCATAATCGCATAACTGAAATGTAGTTCATGGGACAGGTGGTGCACATTTGATTGCAGACATGACTGAGCTACTACACGGCTTTCAAACGAGATGCTACTCAGCAGATTAAGCTCACATGAGGCTGAAAAAGTCAGTTCAACAAAACCTACCTCACTTGGATGGTGATGTTTCTGTTGCCACTAAAAAGAAAGACAAATAACAACGATGGCAGGGATACAGAAATACCGGTAGTAGTGGTCATACGTTACTATGATTCGAATGAATTTAGCTGCATGTAGATGCAGAGTGCTGAATTTGCACATTGATAGAGCATGGTATGGTAGTGTTTTCGGGTCAAATGTGTTCCCTGAATGGTTTTGCCGAGATATTTTATAAGCGAAGCGTTTATGATAATCGACAATGAGCACAGACAGCTATTTCCTTCTCTTTGGGACTGGTCAACAGTGCGGACGTTTTTTGTATCCTTGTCAGGACTCGAGCCGCGAACCTTCTGGTTGGGACCTCAATCTCTTACCTTTGAGCTACGTGGTCGACGGTCATTACCTTTTCCGCATGGCTCCATCAATTTAGACGAGGAACTTTTAGCTTAGTCCACTTGGTTTTCGACAAAGGCACCGGGAACCGTGTCTGCATATGAATGCACTCAACTAGTGGGGAATCAACGATCTCCGTTCATAAAAGTGCATCCCACTGGGACTGCATATAATTACAATGTTTTGTGAAATACGAAAAATGATGGAAGTTTCCTCTGGCTCGAACGATGCATGTTGCTTGTGCTAGCCTCCGGATGGGCTGGTAAACAGTTTGGGATTCTGTTTGAGACGTATAGAAATCTGGGTATCGTCATAGACAGTCACCTCCGGTGGTCCATACACATTTACAATTGTATGGAGAAACTGAGACACCTCTCATTTCAGCTACGGTCACTCAGGCAATTTCGAAAGTCACAATCAATTTTGTCCTCTTTTGCTAATCAACGAGTTTTTCCCAATTCTATTATTTTGTCCCCCTGTAGTTCTTTTGAAATGTTAAAACAAACTTTAAAACTATTTATCGTGGTTTAGTGATAATCAGTGATGTAGCTTCAATCTCAGTGAATTCCTTGATTACACAGCATATTGTTGGCCGTATCAAATTCGCAAATAAGATTCTAAATGACCCTGTTCATCCACTGCGTCCTGATTTGTCGTCTTGTCTTTCCTATCCGACTACAAGCTACTCATCTCCGTATCTACTCTTTCGTATTCGCATCTATAAGAATTTCCCTGTACCCTACCTGGTCTGAATTCTATTCAAAAAGGAACAGATCGTTAGTGAATTACATCGAGATTTGTGTGCATAAAACAAACTTCAGTGGAATTCGTCACGTTGCGTGTCATATGAAATTGCACCTTGATGCGATGTGCCAACCAGTGTACATTTTAACTAAAATTTAATCGTCTAAGTGTGCACATGTTATACAAGTACAAATACGACAGAATTTTGCCGGTCCCCGACAAGTTCGATGTAATACTTTATGTGGCTAAGGCCTAACTGCTGATCTCTTCCGAATGGTACATTCACATTTTTTCAGATTGGTAGGGGGGGGGGGTTGTTCCAGAGAGATCACTTCAAAACGCCAAAACTGAAACACCTCTTTTACTGGATGCACTTAATACATGGTGTCTTCTTAACCAATATGACAGGTTATCGTAGTTAGCTATACGGTTGGTTCATACGCTTCAGAAACACATGTATAAACCACAGTGATTGTCAAGTTGACCGATTTCGTGTTGTAGCCGTGGAATGTATCTCATTGTTCCGTGGTATTTACACGCACGCCCGTATGAATTCTTGAAATTTCATCCCCCGGATGTGCTGTTGTTTTGCTCTCTCATTGAGTAGTCACTAGAAGGTTGAAACAATTTGCAAACTTTTTCCCCGGTATGCTAATTTCACATACCATTTATGAGCAGATGGACAGAAGTCATATGGTGTATAGCACACACACACACACACACACACACAAACACCGAGCATGTTAACCCGTTCACTGGGCCTGTTCAAATGCAACGAAATCCGTTGTTGGGGGAGATTTCGCTCGTATTTATTTAGTCTTGTCAGTTGTGAAGAACAACGTCTAACACCGAGAGAAATTTCATAATATTCAATTAGCATTCGTCCTTCGATGTCTTTGAAGCTTTCCGAATTAAGGCACAAAACAGAAACTTAATTAAGTGCTCACATTCATTGATTGTTGATTGTCCATGGGCCGTTTATACCCCCATCGACAAGTTTGGCTACGTTTACGGTTGTCATGGTTTCTACGGGAGAAACAGAGAGAGAGCGAGAGACAGTTACAGGGCGTTTGTACTTAGCTTTTCTCGACAGACGTTCCACCCTATTCAGTTAAATGTAAACTTTAAATTAAACTAAATTTTGTCCGTCAAACACATCAGTAGGGACAGTTCATCATGCGAGCATACGATTTTTTAGGCACTTTGTTTAGACTGAAATTATTGACCTAAGACTGGCAATCCATTTCAAGTCGTGATGTTAGCTTGTCGTTGACGGAATCAGAGGCTTTACTATAAAAGAATTAGTTAGCGATGACATCCAGGATCATTGCCTAACGATCGACTGAAAATTTACAGCCGCATTCATTTAAGAATCAAGTCGGTTTGTGCGAAGCCAGGTTTAAACTCTTTTGTGAAATGTGGTAAGAATTCTCTTTTTGTCGGTTGTGAAACCTAATCCTTTTCACGACTACATACAGTCGTGAGGAAATGGGTTCTAATTAAATTAACGAAAACATTCCTACAATAACTTTTTTGAGATAAGATCATTCTTAAATATTCAAGTATTTATTGAAGGATCTCAGATTTTATGATCGAAAGATATTTCAAGATCTGATTGGCAAATAGTTCCTCCGTGGGTCAGGGTTAAAGATAAACCTCCAAAGCAAAGTAAATGAAGCACCATGGACCAAAATGGTCCAGTGAGATATGAACATTCCCGATAAAACATTACTGAAGCGCTTGCCAAGTGTTACATATGATGAAATCAAATTCTCCACTTATCTCGTGTTCCTTATCTATTTGCGTAAAGTAGAACACGTGTTTAGACAGTGGGCTCTTCAAAGTATCGCCACCTGCCACTGTAATACGAACGTACTCCGGGTTCTCGTAGCGCAGCGGAGTGAACGGATATGCGTAACAGGATGTCCCTTGACTCGTATTCTTGCAGCGGGAGACGATACGAGGCTTTGTGGGGCGACAGACGACGGTGGAGAACGGCGGTAGGGATGCGGGACACGGATTGGCGAGGAAACAGTGGCACTCTTCAGTGGGTCGGGGTTGAAGTTAAACCTACAAGGCAAAGCAAATAAAACACCATGAACCGAAAAGGTATCTCTGAGATACAAGCACTCACGATAAAATATTACTGGCGCGGCTGCTAAGCGTTACACCGCCCCCCCCCCCTGGAATAAACACATTTGCACATCTTGTTTAACTAATTACTGTATAACACGTCATCTTGTTTACACGCGCTCGTTCAAAATTGGAAAGTAATTTGCTTTCGATGTTCTATTGTGCATCCTTCTCAAAACAGAATGAAAGCATTTCCGTTCGAAAAAGGATCATTCTTGCTATCTTTTCCCGTATGCACAGCGGGTATTTCTTTGGTGATTCTGTGTCACGAAAATCATACACTTACTTAGAATCTGGGCAATAGTGAGAACGATAGTTCGATAAATTGTAGCGTCAAAATGAGAAACGTAATCCTATTATAAGAACGTATACCGAACACTAATCAGTCGTGACAAGTTGTTTTTTTTTAAAAAAGAGCGGTTATTTTACTATGAATCACAGGTTTACACCCCGTTACCCCTCGTTGTTCTGCCCCATCTGTCGAGCGAGAGTCTCCGTATGTTTTGGAGAGCAATGCGTATACGATACCACAAATGTTCTCTCCTTGTTCTCATCTCGATTCAGTCCACCCCTTATCTTATCTTATCTTATCTGCGGAGGCAACTCACTCGTCTCTAATCAAACCAACAAAATGCATAGAATTTATTGTTCTGAGGTTATGGATTTGATTTGAAAATTTGTAAAAAATAAATTTTTTCAACATTCGTTAACCTCAGAATATTCCGATAGTTTTTGTTCTGACTCGTCTACAGCGGTGTGACCAAATGTTGTGCGTTGAGGCTAAAGGACTGCGGGTCGTGGCTAAAGTAATGTGGGTTTTGGCTAAAGGAATGTAGGTCAAGGCTAAAGGATTGTGGGTTTTGGCTAAAGGATTGTGGGTTTTGGCTATAGGATTACGGGTCCAGGCTAAAGGATTGCGGGTTTTGGCTAAAGCTTGATGGGAAAAGGTGAGAATAGATTTGTGACAAACTTCACCAAGACTTCCGTTTTTGGTACCCAGACTCCGGGTAGCCGGATTTCCGGTGGTCGTGAAATTGCATTGGTTATTTGGGGCTGGACTGAGGAGGGGAAATGCACCGTTTTTAAGACTTTATTAAACGCAGAAGACCAAAATCGAGGTCTTTCAAATTTTAACGATTTAACTACTTGCTCCGAGGAGACCGGTCCAAATTTGCTTCCTCATTTCACTACTCCAGAACACGTTCGTCAAGCTACCTGCGTGTAAATATCAGCAGAAAGACTTCTATCACTCACACATTTGATTTCCTTCTTCCACTCCCACCTCGAAAATCACCTTCAGGCGTATTTAAACAGGAAAATGTCCGGTTCGAGTGAGAAGGATACAGAAACTTCGCGTCCTTCAACAGCCAGTTCCCCGCGAAATGGTTCCAGTAGTAAACAACACACACCCCAGCGATCTGAGACTACTCGCGTGCAAGAATCAACTGTCAATAGGAAACCACACGTACCGGGAGTTATTCGCAGACCTGTCAGTTTATCACGTTCTGGAGTCAACAGAAAACAAGGTTTGTTGTCCCCGCGGGTTTTTAATTTCATTATCACCTTCCCTCTTTCTCTGTTTGTTGTACCTGACTTTCATTCGCTCGGTGTCTTTTTGGTTTGGGGCTGTTGCTGTCGTTGTTGCATTGTCGTTGCGAAACCGTGTTTATCTGCTTACCGTTTAATTTAACGCTAATCAAACACCAAACCGCCTTCCCACCTCTGCTCTCTGCACGTCACCTCGTTTGGGTACAACTCACAAAAATTGTCGTATTGATCTGGTTTTGGAAAAGTAAACCTGCATTTCCGCCTGCTTCAGTTTAACAGAACAGTGATGTTACACACGCGTCAACGACAGCTAAACGGAAATTGTCTTATAAGAATGTAAACTTTTCTTGAAAAAGGTACACAGTATTATTTTTACTGGAAGTTAATGAATGTCATCTATCTTTCGTCTTTGGTTGTTCAATATTGTCAGTCATCAGATTACGACAGATTTTGTTACACTTCATTTTTCTTGTACTATGTGAAATAATTGCAACCCAACCGGTTTCCCAGTGAATAATAAATGCTTACACGTCATCAGTTTCCGTCAGAGGAGAAATCTCATTTGGTGGGGAGAAATAAAGATCAGTCTATTTGTCTCCCGGACATTTTGGCCTCTTGATTGAGCTAATAATAGCAACTGTGACACAAACAGCAGATCTGTTGTAATGACAGTTAGGCGTTCTGAAGTTGATGCGGAACGTAGCTAAGCATTTAAAAGAAAGAATAAATATTTCTCCGTTTGTTTTCTTCCAACCCATCGACTGATTTAGCCACGTTTTGGAGAAATTTCTTCAATCTGTAATACATAACATTACTTTTTGGGTAATATTTGTTGAACACGTGTGAATTGGTCATGAAATGAGCGGGACCAGTGTGCATGTATTTGATGAATTCGGTAGCTCCAATGAGGGCAAATAAAATCGGTTTGTTGAATTTATTTCTCACTGCACAAGAACGTGCATCTGGGTCTCACAATCCGTACAAATCTATCAGACTGGCAAGGAATTGAACACGGGATTTCACAGTTAGAATGTAAATACAATTCATATCACTTGATCAGCCTCTAGCTGTTCCTACTAGATCACTTATCTGACAGGAAATAACTTTAGGTACAGTGGATTGTATGTCAAGTAATAATGGACTGGCCGTTCTCACAGCGATAATTTATCGGAATCCAAAGGTTTCTGTTCAATGCATGAAAACCGGTCGATAGTTGTTATCACTGTGTAACCATTGTTCGTTTGAAAACGCTTTATTATTTGGACTGACATTAAATAGTTGATTTTTACGTCCAATTTGGAAATACCTTCTTGGGGATTGATGACGCCAGGCAGCTACTTTATCTTAAGCTGTTTTCTTATGTTGGTTATTAGCGAATTGTAATTCTATTCACTCTCCTCACCATTTGGTCGGATATCTCGCTCGAATGATGAACATGTTTGTGATGTATAGCTGTTGAAAAACCCGCAACTGGTGGCTGTTCAAATTTGTATTATTCATTTTGAGAGACAACTTTTTTGGAATGTTGAATACTGACTGTGAAGACAGGTGTGTATGAAAAACGATTTTATTGTGTGTGTGTGTGTGTGTGTGTTTGTCATCATCACCATCATAATCGCTGCTAAGCTCACAATGCGCACAAATCGAGTGATACAGCACAAGATGGAAAGGGATTGGGCTTAATTGGAAGACGGAAAATAAAGTGAACCTATATGGTCAGCACACAGAGTACACGATCTAAGTGTGCATTCATACCTTTTCAAGGATTCTGACCTGATGAGAAATGACAAGAACGCCACTGCTGTCGGTTAGTCGTCATATCCGTCCGTGTCTCCAACCAGCCAGTTACAGAGTCTTTCGGACCCCAACCTGGAAGACACCTATTCTACCCAATCGCTCCGTGCATTTCTTCATGCCTCGTTTCCACATCATTTGTTGACCTCCAAGCGGTTTCTTCCAACTCATTACCTAATACTCGACGCCTTACCTCAGAGTTGCCTACACGCTCGCTCCATCCAATACGCGCCAAACTACGTAAACATCGGCAGTCGAAGACCTCTAGACGACGATTGTCCTCCACGGGCAAATTTAGGGTCTGGCAACCATAGAGCAGAACTAATCACATACTAGCACAGTATACACGACCTTTCAGTTTCAACAAAACATTGCATCTGCACCAAAGGTGTTTCATTTCTGCGTGTGTGTCTATAGTCCAGGTTTTCCAGTTCCATCCAAGGTCACGTGATTTCCATTGAACTACCAGTTTGGGTTCAAATCGCTGTCTGTCCTCCCCATTTCTTTTTTTTCCCAAGCAACCCTTATATGGACGCGGCCCCCTTCCTGAAGGTCAACTGCACATTCGTATATTCAATAAATAGAAAAGGAAGTAAAAAGGCATTTACACTTATTTGCATTCCGAGACCGACTCAATCATTTCCATCTAAATTCAACACGTATGAGTCCACTGTAGATTTGAGAATCTGAAAACCATCAGGATTATGTGAAATTAAGTTCACCTGGTGGATAATTTACAAGGAAATCCTTGCTCTTCTACAATTCTCATTATTCTGAGTCGCGATGGCCGGTCCAACCAGACGGAGTTGTTTTTACACCTTCGAACCAGACAAAGAGACCGTGCTGCAAGTATCTATAATCCGGACTACCAGTATCTTTTATGTTTACGGAAACCAGGTAATCCAAAGAAAAAACGGATAAACAATGATTGATGGTGTATTATACGAAGTTTCATTGCATCGTTGTCGGGAAGCCGGAAGGAATCTCTGTTTTCCAACCAGTTCACTGAATATTTCTGGTTTTGACTTTGAAATTGGTGAAATCTACAGTGATCTAACGGTAGTACCCATTGGAGCCCTTTTTTCACTAGGTTCGATCAAGAAAAAGATTTGAATGAACATTTTGAATGCTTTTACACGCCGTATATTTAAAGATTTTGCATATCCGTGAGTGATTTTCGGTTTGGTCGCATTCATTATGTGAGTGAAGCAAGTGCGCATGTGATCAGATTGCACATCTTGTTTTGCCCGATCGATTTTGGACTGTTGTGATACTACACCTACATGTGAATAGATGGTGGATTCTTTCAACGATCAAAATTGAACATGACCTGTTGGAGCGATATGCTGCCGTTCAGTATGGCAACTACGAGAGTACGCATCCAATAGTGGACCGTTCCAATAATTATCCTCTGTATATATATATATATATATATATATATATATGTACTCCAAAGACTCGTTCCAAATGAGATATTTTGTTTTATGAATGCCAATTTATTGATACCCTGACCGGTTTTCATAAAAAAACAGCTATTCTCGACCAGGCCCCGCCTTGTGAAATTATGACAGTATAATCAGCTTTATCTCTAGCAGCGGAATTATTTAACCGAATAAATCGAACTATTGCGGATAGGATTGTTTACATTTGATATTCTACATGATGAGGTCAACTAGTGAGCTCTCACATTTGGAATGGCGGTATTCATATACCATAATGTTGCAGAATTTCAAGTACAGTTTTCTATTTTTTTTACCTGATAACAGAATTAATGTTCGGCCTCAAAATAGTGCCACCATTGTTTTCGTTGACGACCCCATTAAACATTTCAACGCCACTAATTAGCGCGTTTGATTGGATTTATCTTGGCATCTTTACCAATGATAATAATTTAGCAGAATTGTATTGAAGTCATTCTAATGCCATTGTTTCATTCATCCTCCCACTCCGTGTTTGGTCGTTCGAATTTCGTGTTCACTATGGCTTTGTTGGCTTCATATGCAAATGTCACACCCAGTCAATGGTGACGTGAAGGTTCAGACCAAAGACGAACTAGCTCTACTCCGAATCAAATCACCGACCAGTGTGGACTTACCGCCAGCCGGACCCCATATGCTGGAACCGAAATTGTTCGTCGAGCTGAAGGCCAAGTCGAACAGACGTGTGATTTCCAATGCATTGAGTCACTGCTGTTTGGCTGGTCCAGTCAATCAGGAAGCCAAACTTGCTGCGTTGGAAGTGAGCTAATCTACTTTGATGGCACTTGCGTACATATAGGCACACATACATGCACATATATATATATATATATAAAGTCGTATTTGGTGTTCTATTCTCTAGTCAAATACAGCACTGGTTAACAGATCAAGGAAATAACATAATTTAATGGAACAGAAATCTCCAAGAATGAATAATTTTGTGTGTTGTATTGCCAGGGGTGTATACAAAACCAATTATTCTGCCGTAGTCATGTTTACGAAATATCAATGAAATCCATACCCACATGATTTGAAACTCATATGTGACACGGTAAATCGATTGTTGTAACTGTTTTGTTTTCCCACAAACAAAGGAAGGAGGCGTTTTACCAACCGGAACGCAATTTTGCTTCGGCTATACACTATACAATGCATGACCTGCATTGCTCAGAATCCAGCGATCATACACATGCGTCTGACAGATCCAACAAAAAACAACCTCGGTGACGTTTGGTATCACTGATTGGCCACGGCACATTTTGGCAAAAATAGGTGTTCCTTATATTTGACACTAGCTGATTAGGTTATTTACTTGTGTCTCTTCAGAACCCATTATGCTACTATGAGAATAGTATCAGACGACGCCCACCAAAAAAACAAATGAAAAAACCACCTGAATTCGTTGATAATGAACACTTAAGCAAACCGTGCTTACTCCCACCTCAGTGCATGTGGTAGAAGACCAGTCAGGAAAATTCGTCTGGTTATATTCCAGTTAGCGAACAACTAATAATTAATGGTCATTAAGCAAGCTCCCACATGAGAACTTCTCTGAAGCTGTCCCTCAGACTGAACGTGACACTTTTGCAATCTAAGTTCAAAACTTGGATCGCAACTGAACGCCAGATCACCGATATGCTTTACGACCTTTGTAATCAACTCATTCTATTTCATATGCTGCATCCTTCTAAACCTTCCGTTTATCCGGTACCCGTTGATCGTTTCTACTAAACCACTCACGTTGGATTAACCAGATTTCACACTTCCACACGCACATATTCTTAGTTCATCCGACCAAGCAAACAACTAGAACTTGAGTTTCGCTCTTACTGGAACTCATCGGTGATGCATATGGATTGACTCATCCTATTTTCCTCACATGAAAGGATTGTCCCTATTAGGTTGATGCCGCCCGAAAAAAAACATTTTCACGAGAGCAAGAACAAGCCTCATCATGATGTGTTGAATGCAACGTGAAACAACAACAGCAACGCTAGGTTTGTTTTGTTTAAATGTCATTTTCAATGATAGTCAATCATTTCCTTTTGTTCGATTGCAATTTAGTACATTCACTGGTCCGGGTACACTTCTCTTATAAAACCAACTTGTTGTGAATTTAAATTTCTAGTTGAGCACTACTCATGAGTAGTATTTTGTGGTCAAAAGATATTCTTACGTCCTAGGCCCGGGTTTTCGTTGTTTTCTTATTTCTTAGGCGCTTGGCTGCTCCGACGGTAAACATTTTATGATCTTGCTACGTAGTCAATGCCAGTACGGTGGACTGTACAGCTATTCGGCCACCGAGGACCAAGCGATTCGCGTTTGTGGAAACGGGCCCAAGAAGATTGAAAACAAAATGGTGGCGCATTTTTACAAGTAATTCTCTTCGCGGGTTTTTGTTTTTTATAAACAAACGATTATTATATGCCATGCTTGATCAATTTGTTGTACGTGATAGATTGGTCATATTGAACAGTTTTCTCGGAGTGTGATTCACGCGCAAGAACTGCGTGAAATGTTACGCATTTCACGCGGAGTAACCTTTTTGTTTGTGTGGTGATTAGCAGATCTCATAGTAACAAAGAACTGCTGTTAAGTGATGGTATTCCGTAACCTAAGCACCGGGGCTTGGTGTGGCGATCCACACAGGGTCGCACCAGATGAGGTGTGGTATAGAACCGGGCGACTGCAAAGCTGTCTACCTTCAAAGTTAAGTCGCGGTGACGGGGCTCGAAACTCGGGCCACAGGGTCCAAAGCACGCCGGTGACAGCGACTAAACCACTGCGCCACCACCACTACGGTAATATATTAAATTGCGTTTTGTATTGTATATGTATTCATATTCTAATGAGGATCATATATTTTTGTTTTTGTTTTCTTAATTCATTTGCCAATCAATTGATCCTCATTAAGAACCGTTGAGTGAATCTTAACCTATCTTTCGTAGTTTTTCAAGTGAGACTCTCCCTCATACTTAGTGTACCAGAAATCCTTGCCCCATATGGATACAATTTGTTATGAACATAAGTATGGTGGTTTACGTATATGTATTTATCCGTGGTCCTGTAATAGACAAAATGCTAGTGCCTTACATGTGAAAACTGTGACCCACACAAACAAGTTCAATGCGCTAAGTCAACATTTCTGTGTTGTGGTATATCCTTTTTTTTACTGGGAAATACTGCTGCTTAAGTAGCGGTTATCATGTGGCGTGAATTGTCTGTCCACGGTAAGTTTTAACTCCCTCACCGTGGACCCACTCTCTTGTGTAGTTTCCGGAATATACCCGTTTTTGCATAAGAAAACACGTTCAGAGGCGAACAATTACTTTCATTGATTCATCTTCTAGCCTCGATAGATTGTGTAGCTCAATTATATTTAAAAAGAAGATAGACATTCAGTCACGCAAAGGTTACAGTGATTGGTTGGTTTAGGGATGGGGGAGAGGGGAGTGCGATTTGGGGTGAGTAGTGCGACGTTTCATATCACTATAGGTCGTCATCTTTGAGATCGACCCTCGATCATGGCAACTGAATGGCATAGGCCATTCCGTTTCTTTGCCCATAGGTTGGGGTGTGCGAATAAATCAGTGTTGNGTTGATCGCTTCCGTCGTGGCTAGATTGTGGAGGATTAAAACTTTTGATTTATGCAGTGGTGCTCTAATAACTGCAGTAATTGTACTAATTGATCACGAAACACGAATTCCAGATTAGCAATCACGGACGCCATGTAAGCACGGGATCACACTGGTCTTAGCCCGCAGCTGGGACGCCAAGAAAATACCACAGGGATAGTAGTTCGTTTAATGAAGGAACTCAGGAGGATTAAATAATACGTACAAAATATGTTCATTGGTCAGCCAATCGCGTGCTGGTATTTCTGGCATTGTTCAGATTTTGTCTGGGCCGCACGGTTTCAGATTGATTGCTACAATCGACCTATGGTCTGTAGTCCAGAAGCTATGACACGTAAGCGCTTTGCTGACGTCACCCGGGAAGCTTGATTAAGCACAGTTGTCCGAAAACTGTAACGCGTCGGTCCGAAATATACGTCATCTCGTACACTAGGATCACCACAGGTACTCAAAAAATAACTGAAGGCTGATTCAGGCTTCACTTGTCTACCAGAGTCTGTTAGGTGAGCCAGGATAGCGCTTCCTGTGACACCTCTACTGTGCTGTGGAATTTAGAGTGTTATTCCGAATACAGTCTGTAAAGGCTACAAGATGAACCAGTGAAAACCACTGGATTATGAATAGAATAATCTAACTCACAAAGCAGAGAGAAGATACATTGGGTCCGATCTGTTGGGTCACACACAATTTGAAACATTCAGAGCACCTTAATCATTTGATCATTCGGTCAAGCTTGTGGCCCAGTGTATACATGAGCAATCTTCTGAATCACATATAAAACATTTTGGCATTGGCGAATATATTTCCCCCGGTGAACCATTTCGGAGTAGTTAAAAGCACATTTAATAACCAAAAACTGGGGATAACGAAAGCTGTCAGTAAGTCAGTTACTTGGTTTCGTCATTTGATTTGTTGAGAGCATAGACGATGCGCGAAAGAGGCGAATGTGGTGGATATCTTCGTCAAGTGATTTGTATGCGTTTCTTCAGGTCTGGACAAAAGAAATTGATGCATACCCTCGAACTTTCTAAACCAAAGGTTCATGACATCATTAGGGATCAGGATCAAGGATTGTCACCCCCACATATTTACCCTCCATCTCCCCTCACCCAAACGACGACCAGTTCGACTAATCCAATTTACCGATCTACTATTAGTCTTTATTATCTTCAATTTAGCGGTAAATAAATCATTTGGAACATGTTCGTCTAACTCACATTTCTGCGATCGGCATTTGGAAATCCCCGGTACAGTTCATTTACCTATCATGAACAGTTTACTGCTATGATCTTCCCAATTACCTTTAATTTCTGGATACCTGTGGTAAGTCAACCAACCCAAAACTTCTCATCGTATTCCTTTACTCGTGACACGTTCGATAAAAGATCAGAGAATGGGACTTTTGCATAGGATTTTAAAAACGATGAATCGTAGCGTTCCGAGGGGAGCACTGGACAGTGAAATCCGTTCCCCAAAAGCCCTCCTTAAGGGTGGTGAGATAGACGGATGTGTGCCGATTGATAAATAAATCTTGATCACTTAAAGAATGACTGATTTGCAAACAACGGGAGCTAGTGAGAACCTTGGTTCGATCATGAAGAAAGATTTGGTTTTATTGTAATCCAGATCAAGTGACCTTATGGGTTTGTTTCCCAAATTTTTCCTGTGACATTTGCAATGCAGAGAACCTTTTATCAATCTCATTTTAAACACATTTCTTTGAAAAACATCAAAAGCTGACTAAATTGCCCAATCACTCCAGTTGAATCGATCGTTTTCCCGATTGATTAATTTTATTTGGTCACGCATATGGTTATTCTTTTCAAGTTTGTCTTGCTAATTTTGACTACTCGTAAGTAGCTACAATTTACGAGAAAAATAAAAGCATTTTGTACAAATTGCCTCTGCTGCTCTTGGAGTTATGATACCCATTCGAAATCTTACTTTCCACTTTTACTTTTTTTACTTGGTGAAATGCGAGCTTAGTAATGGTGAATAATTTTTTCTGAAGGTTCCACTGGTGAAAAACTGCTCATTTGATCCACTCATTGGGATATTCTTGGAGGTTTAGGAAATAGTCCGTCGAATCCATTTAGTAAAAACCTAGTCTAAATCGTACTAGGTATACAACGGAAAATATAAAAATGGGTGACTGTGATTTGCAAGAACTCCAGAAATCATACATATACCAAGTTCCGGCCACATTGCCCGTGAGATATAGTTTTGGTAAGCATTTATTTTCGACATGCCCCTGTGTGTTTCTCTTCACTATTGCAAGTGAGTAACGGAGGATTAGGTTAAACTGAAAAGGTGAATTCGTCGTGTATGGAGCAAACGAGGGGTGAACTGAAAGGCTAGGAAGCACTGGACAGCTGTCTCGAC